GCCAAGTTTCCTTAGTCTCAGCTTCCTGAGAATCCACTGGATCCTCCAGTTCAATCTGGAAGGCTGTAAGGTCTTTTTCAATGTCATCTTTGCCAGCCTGCAACCTTTTTGGACATAATATCAGTCTAGGACTAGGTGCAATAGTAATAGAGAGCTGCTGTGATAGCCAAGGACTTGAACTGAAATCCAGTTTTTAAATCTGCAGGACCAGATGCCCTCCACCCAAGGGTGTTGAGGGAGCTGGCAGGGGTCATCGCAGAGCCCTTGGCCTGACTATATTAGCATTCGTGGTCATCTGGCCAGATGCCGGGGGATTGGAAACTGGCTAATGTGGTCCCAATTTTCAAGAAAGGGAGGAGGGATGACCCAGGTAACTATAGGCCCGTAAGCCTTGCCTCGGTGCTCGGGAAGATCTTGGAGAGAGTCATCAAGGAGCACATCTGTGGGGGGCCAGCAGGGGAGATCAGGCTTGGGGGCAATCAGCACGGGTTCATCAAAGGCAGGTCCTGCCTGACCAACCTGATTGCCTTTTATGACCAAGTAACTAAATCCTTGGATGATGGTGTCGCCATGGACGTAGTCTTTCTAGACTTTAAGAAGGCCTTTGACACTGTCTCTCACCCCATCCTCATCAATAAATTAGGCGACTGTGGCACTGATGCCTGCACAGTTGGATGGGTAAAAAATTGGCCGGTGGGGCGCACCCAGAGTGTAGTGGTGGACGGGTTGTACTCAACCTGGCAAGATGTGAGCAGTGGGGTACCTCAGGGCTCGGTCCTCGGGCCTGCACTGTTTAACATCTTCATCAGCCACTTGGACGATGGGGTGGAAAGCACGCTGTCCAAGTTTGCTGATGACACAAAGATGTGGGGCGAGGTGTACACACTTGAAGGGATAGAGAGGCTGCAACTAGATTTAGACAGACTACAAAAGTGGGCAGATGAGAATGGGATGGGGTTCAACGCAGAAAAATGCAGGGTGCTCCACCTTGGGAGAAGGGATCCACAGCGCACACACAGGCTGGGGAGTTCCCTGCTTGAAAGCACAGAGGCAGAACAGGATCTTGGAGTCATTATTGACTCCAAGATGAACATGAGCCGCCAATACCAGACTGCAGCCAGCAAGGCCAGCCATACCTTGTCATGCATCCAAAGAT